GTGCCCCCCCTCCCCCTCCCCCAACTACATTTTCACCAGTACTTTACTCGGAAGGTGGCATGCTTCGGCATTGTCTGCAAATTTTGAAGACATCTGGCTTGGAACGAAATTGGAGTAGACTTATCCAACCTGGAGTACTCGCGAGGGCTCCAGTTCTGAAGATTGCTTGACAAGCAGCTGAAAAGGGAAGACATCGGGATGAGTGAAGGGATAAGAAGCAGAGGTTTAATTCTTTTTTGTTAGGCGATTTAGATCAGGACGACTAAATGACCTCTAGCGTTTCATATCTTCAATATGCTCTTCAAGGGTAGAAAATTAACAAAGCTTAGTTTCTGAGCGTTGAGGTCAGCAACAAGGGGTTTCATTCAACAGAAAGGAGTCAAAATGCTTCCGTAGCAGAAGGTTAGTAGAAACAATATTTTAAGGTGAAACTGTGGAAGGATCAGACGGATCGCTCTATTCGTCGACATTGAGATCTGAGAAATCCCCAACCAGATGATTAGATCCAGTCTCCGAACTGCACAACTGAAGATTGCGAGTAATCATTTCCAGTAAGAGTTTGTCTTGCAGTGTATATATAGACAAGTAGGTAAGAAAGCAGGACGTGGGACCGATGGAGAAGATTCCTCAGTCTAACGGTGCTCATAAAGTTTGAGAGAAAGAATGAGGGATAGACCAGTCTCAAGGTTCTATGAAAGCGACAACGAGTCAACAAAAGAAACGGCCAGGATATTCTTAGCTCTGTGAACTCCACGCCTCGTAATTACTCAATGCCGACAGCATTTATGAAACTTTACACAGATTTCACAGCACAACAGCAGATTTCCTGATCCTTTTGAAAAGTGCAAGACACGAATGAGACGATCGAAAGCAGTATGGAGAGGGCAAATAAACGAAGGCGTAAGGAATGCAATTGAGACAGCACGACACTCGAGCTGCAAAGGATGTGCTCCAGGAGAATCGTCAGTAATGCTGTAACTGATGATCCTGGAGCGTTCAAACAGTTAACCGTTACGCCTGACAGGAGCGAAACGCAAAGGGTTACCATCTGAATGCAAGCCGCTCATCATCCTCTGCGAAAGTGCCCTTGCCATCATCTTGTAAAACCGCTTCAACAGAAATCGATCAGCTCTTGTGCTTACCGAATGACGGTCTGGTCAATGCTCTCTTGGCAGGGTCGCGATTCTTGTGTGGGTGGGCAAGGCAAATCCTCGGCGAGGGCGGATGAGTCAAGTCGAAGAAAAACCTGTCTCCGACATCCCCTTGCATTTCGTAACCAGCATGCCTCGTCAAAATACCCAGGTCTGTTCATCAGTCTGATTTGCTCTTGAGGGCCCACAGTATGCTTAACTACAAAAAATGTGTTAAAATGAATTTAGATTATATGAAAGTTGTTAGGGGAGGGAGCTACGTGAAAGCCATCTCACAGTGTGATTTGACGTCCCACAAAAAAGGAAAAGTCGTCTTGTGACGATGATACTCCGTCGGCAATGAGGTTTGCATTCCCGGAGCGGCATCAAAAATGCTATCTATATGACGGACATTAATTTTTCTTGTTGTGGTGGATTGCGTGGAGGCACGTTGGCTGGACGAGTTCACTGTAGCTTAATTTGGGTTCGGGGAACGAGGCGAGAAGAGCAACTCGGCGTCGATGTGAAACAAAAGAAATTAAGGCACTGTCGAGAAAAGAATCAGAAATTCACATTTGTTTAAGAGAGTGATTCCCTGCTTCTCGTCTTCTTAATATGTTCACCCCTCCCACGCTGACCTGCACGGAGGGTTGCACCATAGCTGAAAAGGTTTGATGACTTCGACTGCCGACCGTGTAGCGGCACTTTGTGCACGAGAAAGGAGCAGAAACTAGTTTGAATATAACTTTCAATACAAACTGAATTGAAAACATTAAACCGAGAACTGATACTCCTACCCTTATAAAGAACAAAGGTAATTGATGGATCGAGGTTTGAAGGTAAGGTCCGCGAACCATTGGTGTTTCAGCGGAACTCCGTGAATTCTCCTGTTGAAGTCATGATGAAAATAGCTTCTGAGATTTCCCCGTAGGTAGAACATGTGACCCCATTGGCAGAAAAATGGACTTTGTCGGGCGCTTAGACAGGGCGCAATAGGGCACAGTAGCGGCTTAGCCAACGTACA